GGAAGGTCCTTGCAGGAGGACCCAGGAGCTGGATCAGTTAAGATTTTACTCACTTAGAGCTGTCATTCCAATCCTCCAATAAGTGACTCAGTAGGCAAATCTGAGAACCAGCCAAGAGGAGTTAAAGCCACGCTTGGTGTGAAGCATGACTGCCTGGAAACTCTCCACCGGCCCCTACTCTTGGCTTGGTACTCTTCCAACTGTGCAGAATCTGCCTTGTGTACATTCATGTGGAAATATTCATGTGGAAAGGTTTCCACCAGTGGCTGCAGAGCTGACTGACCTGCTACGATTTATATCAAATATACATGGCTATTATTTATTGAGCAATTTTTTTGTAGTGGTCTTTAAAAATCTTAATTAGATAAAGTATTGTGCATTTCCACAAATACCTGGTGAGTTGGGACAAGAGAGATGTCGTGGTGCAGCCATTCAGGGTTTCAGTGGCGAATGTGTGGTCTCACCTGGGAACAAAGAGGCTTTTTCTGTCAGGAGCCTGAGATCTCTGGGCTTCCTGTGTTAGGATTGAAAGCCTGAAATTCGAGGATCCCTTCCCACCTCAAGCTTTTTCTTCTCTTCTTTGACCTCTCTGTTTCTCCTCTTTCCTAACACCAAGTATTGCAGCTGGGGTCACAGGCAGGATCAGAATGGAAGATGCACTCACAGGTGGCAGAATGACATGGTGCTTTCTTTTTCTTTCTTTTACTAAACTCAAGATTTGACAAAAATATGAAATGAGATTAGGAAGATCTCTTTTTAAGACTCTTGTTAACAATAATGTGCAGCTGAAAGTCCTAGTGTAAGAGATAATGGCATTTGCAGAATGTGGGTAGAGATGATAGCATTGGAGTGGAACGGGCACTGAACAGCCGCGTGTAGGAGTCAGACGCAAAGAGCCGTGCAGCGCCTCCTCCAGACCCAAGCATGAGGGACCCCTACCTGGGAGCTTCAGGGAGCCCCACCTGTCTTGGTCCACTGCACGTCTTCCTTCCCATAGGGCGCACATCGCTGGTGCATAGGAGGCATGCCCTGGCTCCCCTTGGAGATCTCTCCTGGCCATGATGGCAGCCACTGCATGTGGCTATTCACACTTCAATTAATTGACAGAGAATAATTTTTTTTAAAAATCGGTCTCTCAAGCATTTCAGGCACTGTGTAGGCACGTGTGGATGGCAGTCGTTTGACTGGATAGTGCAGGTGATGTGCAGTGTTTCCATGAGCGCAGGAAGCTCTCCTGGACAGTGCTTGACTCTGCTCCCAAGGCCCAGGTCCCAGAATGCTGTGGCTCAGAGTCTGTGTCCTGGACTCGTGGAAGGCTCTTTCATGGGTTCTTCCTCCTAATGGTGGTCTGCATTGCTAGGGCCTGAGAGGCACTCGGGTGACTTTGTGGGGCTGAGGAGAGAGTGGGCAGAGATTGCACGGCCACTTGGGCACGCAGAGCTCTGGGACCCTGGGGTGGAGCTTGGCTGAGAAAAGGAGAGGCTGTCCCTGGGCCCACAAGGTGAAGACTTTCTTTCTTGGCTGCAGGCCCCTCACAGGGGTTGAGAATTTAAGTCTCAGTCTGATTGTCCACACCTTTGTGTTGATATATCTGTCCACAAAGAATATGACGTAGCTATTACACACTTAGTTTTGTTTCTTAGTTTATAGCATTTAAGTATCTAGTTATATAGGTCAACATCCATTTGTGCTTTTACTGCAGGTCTTGTAGGGGAGAGTGTAGGCTGGGAGCTGTGTGGGGCATGTGGACAAGATTGGTGAGTTGTCAAGGACAGATTCCTTGAACAGAAGATATTTGTTCAAGAGAAAAAAGGAAGGTTCCTAGCCTAGAGGAACATCCCCAGACATAAATTCAGAGCTGGCTCTGAATCAGTTCAGTGGAATCAACTGTCTTGGGTGCCCACTTGATAAAGCCCCACAGTTGTAGCGTGTGGCTTCTGGATT